TCAATCAACGATTCTGTCTGTGGAATCGCCTTGACTTTGCAAAGACCTGCTGTGGGTCTGGATACTCGAGCTGGCTATCCAGGGTAGTCCTGGGAGCCACATAGCACGTCTTCAAGAACAATCTGTACTCCCTACCACACATGTCCCGATGGATTTTCTGTACCATGGCCGCCGCATGAGGCAACTTCGGTCGGAACAGAATAGCTGGAACTTTACAGGGAACACCTACAAATCTCAGGGCAGGAATGTTCTGGATCTAGAAAGGATTTTCGATAAACTCTAAGCGGTCCCAAACCCTGAACTTTTAAAACCCTGAACCCCTAAACCCCTAAACCCTACACCCTAAACCGTTTGTTTGGGTTGCGGGGACCTGTGGTTTTCGGCTTCTCCGGCTGCAAGGCTGAGGGATTTAGGCCACGGTTTAGGATTTAGGGTTTAGGGTTTTTTGGGGGGTTTAGGGTTCGGGGTTTAGGGTTTAGAGTTTAGGGTCTTTGGGTTTAGGGCTTAGGGTTTAGAGGCTCATGTTTATGAGAACCGAATCTTCGTAGATCAGGTCTGCCTTTCAATACATGAGAGCACCTGTAGACCCTATGCTTCCTTACACCCTGAACCCTGCTGAATCAAGCCATTTATCTCAACCATAAACCCCTAAACCCCCGAAACCCTAAACCCTAAACCCTTAACCCTAAACCCTGAAACCCCAAACCCTAAACCCTAATAAACGAAACCTGAAGATGATCCGTGGTATGTTCCTTGACCCAGGAGCGCTCACAAACAGAACCGAACCCCTTGCATAGCATGAGTAAAAAACACAGAACTACCTGAGCCTACCAAAACCTACTTTGTCGTAGGGTCCCTATAGATTCCATAGTAGGGTTTATAATAAGAACCTACAAAAAAGTAGGGTTTGGTAGTTTAAGGCGCCAGGCACTACAGTCCTAAACTCCCAACCCCTAAACCCACATTCCATCTTCCCTAAACCCTAAACCCTAAACCCTAAACCCACTGCCTTTGTATAGGCCACAGAAGCCGGAACAGCCCGAGATTTCGGAATCCTGAGATCAAGGGCCGAACGCGTCTAGCTCGGGTTCCTTCAAGGTTCCTTAGAGGTTCAGGGTTTAGGGTTCGAACATAATCGGGGCCCCTAAACCTTACACTGCAAACCCTAAGCTCTAAACCCTAAACTCTCAACCCTTCACCCTGAACCCTAAACTCTCAACCCGAAGCCCTAAACCCTAAACCCTAAACCCGAAGCCCGAAACCCTTAACTCTCAACCCGAAGCCCTAAACCCTTAACCCTAAACCCTAAACCCTAAACCCTAAACCCTAAACCCTAAACCCTTAATGGTTAGAAGAGGGCTTCGTGATGGCTGTGGAAGGCCCAGGGCTTTGGTCAGGGTTCCACCAGGGGAAAGGCTGCATCTGGGTTTAGGGTTTAGGGTTTAGGGTTTAGGGTTTAGGGTTTAGGGTTTAGGGTCTACCTATGCGGCGGTTAGTCTAGAAATCAAAGCAATCTGAGGCGCTGAAGAACCTTGGGTTTAGGGTTGAGGGTTTAGGGTTTTGGGTTTAGGGAGAAATCGAAGCATTGTGCGCTAAAGAACCTTGGGCTTCTGGTTCAGGGTTTTGGGGTTCAGGGCTCTAGGTTTAGGGACTTTGAGAGCATTCTGCTACGCATGGTTTGGGGCTTGCGGTTTATGGCTGCGGGCTTGGGGTTTCAGGCTTTGGAAACGCAATGACCGTAAAGCTTCTGCAAACCCTAAACCCTAAACACTAAACCCTAAAACTTCCGTAACCCCCCCCCCCCCCATTTTTGTGCGCTTGCATTATCGGTCGGCCAAGTGGCGGCGCAGTAGGAATACGCCCGGCCTGAGAGAGCAAGATGATCTCATGAGGGTTCAGTGCTTCAGCTTAAGGGATTTCTTGTCTGGGGCTTAGGGTCTTATAGTAAACCCCAAAAAGTTGGAAACCTCACTAAGGACAATGAGTGCTGGGGTTCCCTTTGCATCACTCTTAAGGATTGAGGCTATTGGGCTTCCAACTTTTGGGCTTCTACTGTGGGGAGTTTGTCGGTTTTTAAAGTCTGGAGGAGGTTCCTCCTATTATGAGACCCCGGTTGCATCTGGGGTTTCAGGTTTCAGCGGCCTCTTTTTTTGTGGGGTCAACGCCAGATTCCAGATGACTTGTAGCCAAAGACTCCAGATGCACTGATCACGCTAAGGACTCTGCTGCGGTAAACCACTGAACCCTATAGACCCAGAAATATACCCTAAACCCTAAACCCTAAACTCCTAAACCCCAAACCCTAAAAAGCTCTAACCCCTAAAACCCTAAACCGACTCTAGAGTCGACAGGCTTTTCGAGGTCTTCTCGAGCACCAATAAAGACTCGATTAAACAATGTATAGAACCCGGACAGCCTTTTAGAAGTTATGGATTTTGGGTTTAGGGTCTACGGTTTTGGGATATTGGCCGTGGGAATTTGGGCTCCAGACCCTTACGCAGAACCTGGAACTGTGTCCGGGCTTCCCGGCAGCTGTCCTCCCGGTTGCACATCTCCTTGGCCATTCGGCAGATGGCTTTACTTGCTTGGGTCCATGGCTTCAGGGCTAGGGAGTTTGAACAAAGTTTGGGGTTTCGGGACCCTAAACCCTAAACCCCCACCCCAAACCCAAAATCCTACACTCTAAACCGGATTTGTTGCTTTCACACACGTTCGACTACCGTTTTCACCCTGTTGGACCTTCTCCGAACTAGACATGTCATTGGAGGACATTCATCCAAGGAGAGCGTCACCCCGAGACTGTCAGGAATGTTTAAGGTTTGCGGATGTACAGGGTTTAGGGGGTTAGGGAATTTGGGGTGAAGGGTTGAGGGGGGGTGCTCGATGGGTTTGCTCGGGCTATTGCCAGCGGCCAGATGCTCAACCTCGAATATTACAGGTTTAGGGACTAGAGTAGCCAAAACTTGAAAGGATGTACTTTGAAAACGCATCGCACCGATTTCCCACGTCTGTCTGCAACATCAAGCCTAAACATCCGCAAGCAAAAACTTAAACCCGAATACGGGGCCTTGATCCTTCGAGTTGGCTTTGGGGGGGGGGGGGGGGGCCCATAATCTTATCAAGAACTATTACTATACCTAAACCCAAACCCTAAACCCTAAACCCTAAACCCTATAGTCATTAAGGTGCTTATTTGCATCGTGTCGAGCGGCCTGACAGGCATCGCGAGAAGCAACGTCAGGCTGATGAGTGATTCGGTCCATACCTGAAATTCAGCTCCAGGCTCTTTGGGAACTTAGGTTTAGGGTTTAGGGTTTAGGGTTTAGGGTTTAGGGTTCCGACAACAAACCATCCTCGAACCCAAAACCTAAAACCCTGAACCCTAAATCCCAAAACCTAAACCCCTGAACCCTAAACCCCTAAAGCGTCTCTCGTTTTGGCTGGATTGGGTCCCCCAACCGCTTTACCAAAGCGAGCTGCTCGCGCAAATTCCCTGACCGACCAGCGTGAAGTTGTAGACCTTGCATGAGGCTTCGAGCTTTTGAGTTGCCTTTGGTAGGGGTTTAGGGTTTAGGTTTAGGGTTTAGGTTTAGGGTTTAGGGTTTAGGTTTAGGGTTTAGGGCTTTGAGTTTGAGGGCTAGGTGTTGGCGACACGGTTTAGGGTTTAGGGTTTAGGGTTTAGGGTTGCGAAGATTCAGCTCTTGATCATAAGTACTCGCAAGTAAGGATAAATATAGCTCCAACTTGCGTGGAACCATCTTCTTCTTCCAAGGAACTCAGCCACCACAGGTCTAGTTCCAGCTTCCACCCCAAGAGCCGTTCATCGCCCCAAAGCTTCAGGTTTCGTCAAGTAACTACGGGCCTTTATCTAGAATTGGGTTTTGGGGTGTTTCATACGATGACTATAATACAGAAGCCTCAGGAATAACATTGCAAATTATTCCGACTTCTACATTCATTGCTTCTGTGACTGAACCCTAAACCCTAAACCCTAAACCCTAACAGTGCTGACAATGCACCAATCCCTGGTCTTAATGAAACCCGAAAACAAACCTACAAGACTCTGCGTAAAACGTCCGATGCTTCTGAAAGAAAATGCGAAACCCCTTTCTCAAACGAAACCTAAACCCTCAGAAATCATTCAGCAAAGCTAAACCCTACTCCCTAAACCCTGATAAACCCTAAAACCCTAAACCCTAAAACCCAAAGCCTTAAACCCTACCACTTGCCCCACCTGTCCGGCCGTCGTCGTTGTGGTCGTCCTAGGTCGCTGATTCAGAAGAGACGTCGAACAAAGTGGGAGCTGGGTGGCTTCGGTTCTAGGGTTAAGCATCCTGGTGCAATTTAATTACTGAACTTTACCCTCAACCCTAAACCCTAAAAACCCCAAACCCTAAACCCTAAAACCCTAAACCCAAAACCCAAAACCCTAAACCCAAAACCCAAAACCCCAAACTTAGGCGGAGGGGGTTCACCGCTTTGGGTTCGACTATCAGGGTTTTTCCACTGACATCCTAGGGCTCGATTGGGGCTTAGGGTTTAGGGGGTTTAGGGGTTTAGGGGTTTAGGGGTTTAGGGTTTAGGGTTTAGGGTTTAGGGTTTAGGGTTTAGGGTTCAGGGTTTAGGGTTTAGGGTCTGGTGTTTAGGGGTTTCGGGCTTAGGGTGGCGCTGGCCTGCATGTCTAGCAGCGGGGTGGCTTTCGCTGAACCCGATACCGCCAAACCGCCAAATCCCTCAACTTAAATCCACTAACTAAATCCTTTACCCCTTAAGGCTTAATTACGCCCTGAACCCCTAATTCTTGATTACACCCTAAAACCCGACCCGAAGCCACAAAGCCCTAAACCCTAAATCCCTCTACACCCTAGGCGCCGAAGCCCCTGATCTGCTAAAGCCTGATACCGGTGTGCTGCTTCAAGCCCAGCAGCTCAAGGACTGACGTCTGGGCCGCGCCTCGGCCCCACAAAAAGCAAGGAAGAGTTTGGTGCTTTAGGGGTTCGTGTTTAGGGTTTAGGGTTTAGGGTCCGCGGTTCAGGGATTCGTAGTTATAGTTTTTGCTTTTAAAGTTGAGTTGGCTTTTGTCCGCCAGCACTAGCTTTCAACTATCATCCACACTCACTCCCACCGAACAGCTCAGACCATCCGTAAACCCGAAACCCTCAACCCTAAACCGTGGGAGTTTTTGTCGAGATGAATTCCGAGGGGTTCGGGTCCGGGGATTTTGGTTTAGGGGCGTGGGCTTAGAGGATTCGGGTTCATGGATGGTTGGGGTCTTTGGGGTTTGGCCAACGGTTTAAGGTTTAGGGTTTATGGCTTAGGGAGGATTAGGGTTTCTGGATTTAGGGTTTAGGGTTTTGGGTTTAGGTTTAGGGTTTAGGGGGTTGGGGCTTCTCCCCAAACCCTAAACCCAAGGCCCTAAACTCTAAACCCTAAACCCTAAACCCTAAACCCTAAACCCTAAGCCCCCTAAGCCCTAAACGCTAAGCGGGTTAGCGCGTGGGGGTTCGGCGTTTCGGGTCTCTGGGCCCCAGAGAACGGTTTAGGGTTTAGGGTTTAGGGTTTAGGGTTTAGGGTTTAGGGTTTAGGGTTTTGGGTTTAGGGTTTAGGGTTTAGGTCGCACCATACAGACCTCCAAGATAGGATCCCG